CAACAACAACAACAACAACAACAACAACAACAACAACAACAACAACAACAACAACAACAACAACAACAACAACAACAACAACAACAACAACAACAACAACAACAACAACAACACAACAACGACACAACAACAACAACAACAACAACAACAACAACAACAACAACAACAACAACAACAACAACAACAACAACAACACAACAACAACCACAACCACAACCACAACCACAACCACAACCACAACCACAACCACAACCACAACCACAACCACAACCACAACCACAACCACAGCAACAGCAGCAACAGCAACAGCAACAACAACAGCAGGAGCAGCAGCAGCAGCGACAACGACAACCCACAACCCACAACCAACAACCAACAACCAGCAACCAGCAACCAGCAACCAACAACCAGCAACCAGCAACCAGCAACCAGCTCCCAGCAACCAGCAACCAGCAACCAACAACCAGCAACCAGCAACCAGCAACCAGCAACCAGCAGCGCACAACCAACAACCAACAACCAACTACCAGCAACCAGCAACCAGCAACCAGAAACCAGCAACCAGCAACCAACAGCCAACAACCAACAACCAACAAACAACACCCACCAACCAACAACCAACAACCAACAACCAACAACCAGCAACCAGCAACCAACAACCAACAACCAGCAACCACAACAACAACAACAACAACAACAACAACAACAACAACAACAACAACAACAACAACAACAACAACAACAACCACAACCACCACAACCACAACCACAACCACAACGACAACGACAACGACAACAACAGCAGCAGCAGCAGCAGCGGCAGCGGCAGCGGCAGCGGCAGCGGCAGCGGCAGCGGCAGCGGCAGCGGCAGCGGCGTCGGCGGCAGCAGCAGCAGCAGAAGTTGCAGCAGCAACAACAACAACGACAAGCCCATGATTTCATTGTTGCTGGGAAGTCTTCCTAAGCCTACCAGTCGGTGTCACTTTGACAATACAAATTTACGGCGAGAGCTAGTGTCAAAGGGACTACTGCCAAGGAACTTCAACAATAGTTCTGTGAGTTAGACATTTTTTTGCACTTCCAGCAGTTGACCGCGGTATCGCTCTCCTTCGCAGGCCCCCAATTTGTTTGTCTCATAGTGGGCCAACACTTGAAGTCACCAGGCAAGACTGTGTTCGGTCATGCAGTACATTGCACATTTTTTCTTATTGTTTTGGTTCTAAGGCCGCGCATCGCCCTGGTCATTGCAACTAAAGTTATACCTAAACATTTTAGATGCCACCAAGGCGCGTGCATTTGCATACACACTAGCATTTTCAGGAGTTATTATCTGAATCTTGTGTTTGCCAACGTATCAATGCATATCCATACATTGGAACGTGTGTTATTTGGGCAAGGGCAACTAATTATGAGAACGTCGAATGCCAGCTGTCTAGGCCTTTGTGCCACGCTTTTACTGTTCTGTTGCCGGTCGGATTTCGATCCATAGCCAGACATCCCGTTTAAACATGCCAGGGATGATCAGGAACCATCCAAGAATGTTGACCTCAGGCCAACTGGCCAGGTGCGGGAAGGATGCCCTCTGAAACGGGACCGGCCTTCGTTGTTCCCCTTGCCCACTCCAAACAGTGTGACGGTTGGCGATCTTCAATCTAAGTTAAGTGTGAATACTAGAGGGGTCAAAAATTGGGTCACAATTAGAAGTTGCGAGGTGTGAGTAAAGCCCTCAACAAATTTTGAGCACCACCCCGTTAGATTAATTTCTTGCACGCACGCAGGGTCGTGTGTGTGGGTTTATGTTCTGTCTGAAGGAGCTTCATCATGAATCGTGGGGCCTTAAGTTTGATTTACAGTGGCTAGACCATAGGAGTATAATATTGACATCATTTCCTCCCGTTAGGGCCAGTTGCTTTCACTTGATTACATTTGGAGGTGCTGAATAGATAACAATCGTGATGTTCTCCAAAGGAAACCAACAGAGGCTGCATTTCTCTCCGCCCTCCATTCAACCACTGGGTCTGCCCTGCCTCGCGTTGTTTTTCTTCATCGGATCCCGGTGTTCCCCCCCAAAAAAGAAGGGACGCGCCGGAAAAACGCTTGGAGGACCGGTGGGTGCTGGTGGTGCGTACCATGCACCCGCAGCTGGCGAAGGACGAAGGCCGCTTCTTCGGCCGCGCCTGGACCCGGAAGACCTGCTTCGAGGCATGGGGCGAGGACCGCCAGAAGCGGCTGGCAGGCGGCGGAAAAAGGCGGCGGAGAGGTGGGGGGTGGCGGTCTCTTGGGGAAAATGACAGCGACCTAAGCAGAAAGCAATTTTGTTGGGCAAAGTTTTTTTCCAAGAGGTGCTCTTTGAGAAGCACAAGACCATCCGTTCATTCATACCCACCTCCAAGTTTTTGGCGTTTGGGAAGCCAGGGAATGAAGGGCAACATGGCGGAGTTGCCGTTGAAGTCTCTCTCGATGCTTTCTTTATGCTTTGCCTCCCTCAAGTACCATGATAACACATTAGATAGTGTGTTTGTTTTTCTCTTTATCATCCTAGGATCATTTCGGAAGATCCTGTCCAGAGATCATGAGATCTGTTCCGAGTGGGAAATCCATAAGCCATCTGGCTTCCTCGCTAGGCCACACAAGTGCCCTTGTCAGACTGTCATATAACTAGATGGATTCTAGTTGTTTTTGATTAAGTCTAATCAAGTATTGTACCTAGCATGTTGTTTTTTCTGCCTTCAGGTTCTTGATTCATGATATACCTTCTGGTGTTGCACCTCCAACAAAGAACCAACAACTTGCACACTTCTTGGTTTTCCTTTACTAGGCTTCTGGGTTGCCCGCAGCGGCAACTGGAAGCACTGCGTACCGGACTCCACCTCGCTCGTACGACCGCCCGAGGCGTGTCAGGCCAAGGCGGCGCAGGCGCGGCTGGGGCCCACGCCAGTGGCGCGCCAGGCGAGGGCCGTGCTCGGAGCGCGCTCGGAGGTGCATCGTGGTAAACGGAATAGTCACTTTGGGGTTTGGTTGCCCCTTTTAGAGGTAAACAAGAGGTGAGAAGACCATTTTGGTTCCCATAGCGGTAAAGAACAAGTGAGAAGACCATTGTAATTAGTGGTTGATAGAATGTTTGTTTACGTTGTTTATGGGCCATCCACTCGGGAAGTGAGCTACATTGCAACTCAATGACCATTAGCAACCATTAGGGGCTGTTCGGGAACACAAGGCTATAACCGTCGCATGGCTTTTCTTGAGAGTTGGCTTTGCACCAGTAAGTTTCGGAATACCATGTATGTGTGCATGTGTCAAAATAGGGTTTCTGTAATTGGACCAACCTGAAAAGGGAACCAACTCAAAAACGCCCATGTTGCCAAATGTCCCTTAGGCTGTCCTTTTTGTGTCAAACCTCTGTAAATAAAAGGGAACCAACTCAAAAGCCCATTTTGCCAAATGGGCAACCAAGCAGTTTGGTTGAACATACAGTTGATTTGGCAAACCCGACCTAGGTGCAAAGGCTCGCCTGGCTCCTGGAGGGCTGGAGCAGCAACCCCAAGCTGGACAGGCGCATTAGATTGCCATCTGACGTGCGGCTGTGTTTTGTTTTGGGCGTTTGGGAGTCGGCTTAAAGGGACATCAAACGGAAAGCGCTGTTTAGAACAGCAGTATATAATATAGGTGTCTAAAGGGTTGGTCCATCCAACCCCCTGCCCATTCGGCGTTTGGGAGTCGGTTTAAAGGGAAATCAAAGGATAAACCGTCATTTGTTGGGGTGCCCCTATTTTTACTTATGACGAACAGCAGGTGTTGGCCCAGCTCCGGTTGCAGGCCGCGTCGGCGGCGCTGAGCCTGGGAATGCGCGCAGAAAGCATCGCTGCTTTTTGGGCGGAGAATCATGTGGAAATTGTACATTTGCTTGCTCCACTTTTAGTGATACCGAGGGAATCCCTTGAAGGGAAATACAGATGGCCCACTCTGGTATCACAGAAACGTTTATGTTCCACAATCGTGTTGCGATTTCCTTACTTCCGTTGTGGGCCCCTTTTTAAGGGTCATTTGGCTCTTTCAACCTGAAAAGCCCAAAGACAGGACTTCCTGAATGCTTCTGAAACGGAGGCCAGAGGAAACCACACATGTTCTGGTGCTGTCCTGTGGTTCCCTGTAAGCCAACCCCCGAGAAGGGTACCCTAAGAAACAGATAGTGCTATACCGCTATACATATTTGCCTATGTTTCTTGAGGATACCCTTAGGGGTGGTGTGAAAGGGAAGCCTTGGAACAACAGCCACACACAGAGAACGTCAATATGTAACCAAATATATAGATATACACATAGATACTTCCCTCTTTGGTGGATTGAACATCACCCTTAACGTTGTTGAGATGGAGGAGCTGGGATCAGGTTTGGGATTCTCTCTAAAAGAAAGGAAGGGCTGCAAGTACACAAGCTAAATCAGGTAAAATACACAGAAGACTGTGAAGTTCCCGCCGCAAGTGCTTGGACACACTCTTGAAAATGGTTAATCATTAAATCTATGTTCAACCAATAGGGGGAATGGGTCAAAGGTAACTCTATCTGCTTCTACTTGGGCCTTCAAGGGGAATGCCTTTCCACACATGCCTTCACTCCTGTGGATGGTGTTTCCTAGATGCATTCTGACCACTGGGCCATCTTCAGCCGTGAAACACACTGCAAGCGGGGGAACAAGGGGAAGCCTATAACTTCCCGTAATTCCTCACTGGGCATACACAAAACTAGCATACAAAATTAGCGCATACACAAAACTTGACGCGGCTATCCATGAAGTCCCCCAATGCCCGCAGGATGCTTTGGGAGGCTGAAGATCGGATTTGTTCAAATGGAATATCGGCTCAGCCGACCCTCTATTCTGCCCACGAGGTTCCCTTTTTTGGATCACTGGTATGGGGTTTGCCTGCAGGGATGGGGCCGGAGACTCCCTTAGACCCCCCCATTCTTGTGAGCAACCCTGGGAAAACTGTGCAAACGGGGATGTTTGCACACCACCCACCCTATATTCGCTTTTCACACAGCCACGTTACCGCTGGTCTTTTTGTGAGCAACCCTAATGCGCGGTCGCGTGAGTTGGTGCCCATACAGCGAATTGCCCCTCGCCTCCAGCTCACAGGTCAAAGCCTAAGTCCCACGCACCGTGGCGCACACACACAGGCAGTGCATGAATCAGGCAGGTGTGTCGCGGCTCACGTTTAACATTTTCTCAAATATCCACGATGTTGATGAAACTGTATGGCTCGGATCAGGGCATGAGGAATGGGATGATGGATCCCAAAACCGATGCAATTTGCTCAAGTTATCTTCTGCGATTGTTTCACCTGTTGGTCTCAAATGGTTGCTTGGTCCTGACAGGTATTTCCCGCCTACCTAGTGGCAACACGAAGGCACATCGAGGATCTTTCTGTGCTACTTCCACCAAACTCACAGGACGGAAGAGAACCACTGGAATCATATGACGATGCCAATGCTTGGTTTTTCAGTCAGTTTAGGAGGTATGTGAGTGTTCCGTTCTTTCATGTCTAGTGTGCACACATCATGCAGCATTCAGAGCCTTATTCCTTGCAGCTTGCAGCCTTTAGATTCCGCGGTCGGACTCCAGAGGCCGTCAGGCGGGAGTCGAGGCTGCGTTGCCTTGCTTCTCAGCAGGGAATGAGGCCTACACACCATGCCCTATGGTTTTCTTTAAGGGAACCCCTAGGTTCATTGCCGGAAGGTCATTCCCTACCCATCGTGCCGGCGATTTTGCGTGATAGGTTCCTCTTTTCTCAGAATCGGGGTTGGACACTTGTTGACGGAGTTTCCACCCGGTCTACATTGCGCAACAACGGGACCGGCTTGATTCGACTGCCGCCTGTGGCAAAGACAAAAGGCCAACAGACTCGCGAGCCATAAGCTGTAATTATCATCTGTGCACTGGGAGGCACAAGTCCAAACAGCCATCGTTGTTGCAACATTTTTTCAGGACAGTCCACAACCTTGGGCCGGTTCCAGCCGTGGTTAGAAGGTTGTTGACACGGATAGGGGGTAGCCATGGAAAAGTCGCCATTCTTGATTCTCATAGGTGACCATGGCTTGCTTTGCCAAAGGTGCCCGTGCAACTGAACAGCCGCAAGCCAAAGGAGCCTCTGCTTTGTTGAACCTTTGCCTCTGCAAATCCCTTGGCAACAGGGCCGCTAGTTCGACAAGTCCACCCAGTCGAAACGCGAAACACAGGCGCCGAAAGCGAACCAGCTTTTTTTCAGCCGCACGTTTCGAAGCCAGCCTCGGGCTCAGAGCTTAGGATGTCGCCATGACGGGTCCTTTGGAGACTACCTGCAAAACCTCCCAGTTGCCTCTAAGGTAAGCTTCTCATCGGCAAACGATCCACACTCTCTGTGGATTTTTCCCGAAAAAGAGTAGCTAGCAAAGGCGCGCCAGTCGCCCGCCTTGGCTGGTTGCAGCCATGGCCATGACCCCGGCCACTACGGACCTTCCGGATCCGAGCACGCTGAACGTCCAGGCAGGGCGAGTGGAGATTTTTGCCGAGAGTTTTGTCCTTTTGGGGTGGTTTCACAGGGACCCCTTCATCTTGACCGCTAGTGGGTTGGATCTTTAGACTTTAACTTTTTGGGAATTTGAAATCAAGGGGTTTTCCACTAAACCCACAACAAGCTAAACTTTTTGCAGGGGGGTCAACAGCAACAACGTCAAATAGAGACAAAGCCAAACAGATACGCCCACAAACCAGCTAGCCGACGAACCAGTACGCCAGCAAACCAACACGCCAAGCCATGAAGCCCACAAACAAACAAGCAAGCAAGCAAACAAACAAGCAAACAAACAAAAAGAAGCAAGCCAACAAGCCAACAAACAAAAACACACAATCCAACAAGCTGTCCTTGCCCCGCAGGGTGGTTGTTGGTTCCCGTACCTGCCGGCGGTGTCCAGCCCTACTGCACCTCAAGGAGATTGGAAAGTTTGGCCTCACATGCAATCAAAGGAGCCGAAGCGGGGGGGAATTGGGTGATCCATTGAATGGCTACCTCCAGTGCTGCTCGACATCACGTTTTCTTGCCGCTCGACATCACTGCGATTAAACCATCAATGTGTTGTACGAATTGCTACCAGTGACAGTGGTTGTTTATGTGCATGAATAGTGTGTATAGTCTAAAAACACAAGCCTTTGCAGCAGGTTCTGTGCGCATTTGTGCGCTGCTCACTTAAGAGCCCTGGTGGGCAAGCCTCCTGTTACGCTCCGCATGACAGCACACGATTCTGCAAGCATAGCCGTCCTTTCGGGTAACCTAGAACAAATCGGTTGGATTCTTGTCTTAAGGCCTAGTTTTTGACTTTCGGGCAAGGTATCAGAATGAGCAAAGAGAGGTGTGCTTCTGGTTAGTTTGGTTCAAAGCAGACTGACTCCATCGCTATTTGTTCCAGCCATTCACCAGATGCCATCTTTTCTCCAGCTGTCACCAGGGCAGCAGAAGCCGAAGCTGTTTTGAGAGCCTATTTGGAGATCATCCCATCAAGAGTCTCTCAGGGAGTCATTTGGTGCGCTGAGTGTGAGCGTGATGTTGACCTGAGGTACATTACATGTTTTTTAATGCAGCATGTATTTCATGTTTATCCTGCTGGTTCTTTTTGTACTGAGTGTTTTCGTGGTTCCAACGCGGTGGTTGAACCTGGTCATGCTTGAACCTACTGGACCTCATGCTTCGGATCGTTGGAGTGTTGCTTTGCAGGACGTTTTGACAAACCCACGGGAACAACCCAAAGAACCAGCGTGTGTTTTGTGGGTCGGACACCCAATCGACAGGCGTCTGAACAGGTTGTTCATGAATCTCTGCCAGGTCCCCCAGTAGTGCCCTTTCTCAGCCTTTTTTTGGGGAGGGTTCCCCTACTAAAATCGACTACAGAAAAAAGTTGGTACCAACTTATTTCAACTCTACTGGAGGACCTAGTCTGAATGTTTTGAGGCGCCCTGCGCAGGTTTCTTTGAAGGCGACACCCACAAGCTTTTTGCCCGGAAACTCACTTTGAACGAAAGTTGATAGATGGGAGGTTTTCTTTTCCGAGCGCCAGGTGGCTCATTTGGTCACATGTGGCTCCAAATGAACGAGATAGGGTTGCGCAAAGGAAAGTCTTTGGTTCTACTTGCCTTCTGGGGCCATTTTGGTCTCCATGTTTTTGAGACACAGCCAGTCCCATGAAGCCATTTCCCATTTCGGGATTTCCTTCAGGACAACTGGCTGAAGACCATGGGCCTCAGGGCCGGGGTGGTGGCGCGTTTCTTGGAGTCCCGCAACATCGGCTACGACAGCTGCAGCATTTGCGCCGCGCACCTCGTGGGAAAATCTGGCGGGTCAAGAAGAGGCTCCCGAATGGGTTGTCCTACATGGAAACAAGGACTCAAACCTGGCCAATTCCTGGCGGTCCTATTTTCACTCATACCTGTCAGTGTCTTGGTCCAAGGCTCGCGCCTGAACAAGCTTCCCGGAGCGCGGTTTGGGTGGGCCCCTTTCAGTTTCGGGTGGTTTACTTTGTTGGGCATTCTGATATGGGTGATTTTGGGGATCCCCACAACCATAGACACACCCATATGTGTACAGCCTTCCCTTCCTGACATGGTTGCTGGTGTTAGTCCCGGATAAGGATGGATCTCGGCGCCACTGATGGTTAAGTCACGCGGATCACCCACATCAAAAAAAGAAGCGTGGCATCTGCAATTTCAGTCTGGTACAACAGAGGGGCTGCATCATCTTAAGCAATTTTACCTTCCATGTCGGTAGTTTGGCTTGCAGAATTTCGGTTCGAGCGATTTTGTCCCCCGGTAACTTCTTGCATTTGGTCAAGAATATGTTTTTTAGATCTTCCCCTGTTGGTTTTAAAGGGAATCTATCACTACTGGAAACATGTGATATTTTTTTTCCAGGGGACGAAAACGCCAATGGAGGACCTCCGCGCCGACCGCGCCGACCGCTTCAAGCTTTCCAAGCGCAGCTTCGGCTTCGCGCCGAGGTTCGGGCGAGGAGTCCAGTCGGGCTTCGAGGGCCATGTGGGCGGGCACTGGCACTTCAAGCACTGGTGCCGCCTTTGCGCGGATGGCGAGGAGCGGGTTGGCGTTAGCCTCTGGGCTGCTCCCTTTGGGCTGCCCGCGGAAGAGTGGCACGATGTTATGGCCAATTGAGGTGCCTGATTGCTTTGTGTACAAAAAGGTGGCTTCCCGGGTGCGGACAAATGTTGTGTCTTGCAAGAAGCCTCTGGCAAACAAGTCACCCCTACTCTTTGGGATATCCATTGATCAAAGCTGTCGAACAGGAGCAGCTTATTGGGGCGATAAAGTTTGCATGCTTGAGCCGGCAAAAAAGCACTCGTCCAGTTTCACACATAGGCTGCACAGTGCTCTTCCGAGTGTTGAGTCAAAGTTTGTTTGTGAATGTCGCGGCAAATCGAAGACTTTTTCCGTGCACCAACTGATAGCGGCCTTCCCTACGACCATTTCTTCAAGATTTGTCTGAAACTGGGCCTGTTGCCATGAGGCGCTCCTGCTTCTCCCGCCCCCTCTGCTCATGGAAACCTGAAGCCGCCGAGATCGCCATTTCTTTGGCCGCACCAAGTTGGCCACATTCCTTGTGCTCATGGAAGTACCTGGATTCCCGCTCACTGCGAATCGATTGCGCACTTTAGCGGGCCCACGTCCCCTAGGGGAAACATGTTTGCGAAAAGAACCGCTTCTGAGTTGTTACGAGACATGCAAGTAGACCGGCCATGTCGGATTTTGGCAGCGAAACCCGTCCTACTTTGGGGGGGACCCCCTTTCAGGGTTTCTTATGTTTGTTTTTAATCGGCTTGGCAAGGACATGTCTGTCGCGCGTGAACGGCACTGGCAAAGCTGGAACGTGCACGGAGGCGCGGGTTGATCAGTACGGGGATCTTAGGATCCAACCCCCCGAACACAGAGCCAATCCGGCCATTCAAAAGGGGCCCTTCCTCGGATTTTTTGAAGGTGAAATTGTCCAAGGCAGATTCTTTCCAGTGGATCTTGATCATGCTGTGAAGGAGAGGGCTGTTGACATCCTCGGTTGCTCTGTGACTTCACCTAGAACTCTTCACCCCTTGGACAAAATGGCGGAAGACGCGCATTGTTGAGCTCGGTAGCTGCAGGAGTAGGTCAGAAACCCGACCATGAGCCACATCAGTCGAATTTCGCGAACCAGATTACCACGAGATCGGTGGTCTACTGTTTCGCCAGGACATGTGACGCAAATGTTCAGCAACAGAAACCCGGAAAACAGCTCAAGGAAGTCTTATGAGCAGGGTTCGGGTTCCATCGCCCTTTGTGAAACCAGTCGAACGGGCCTGTTTCGGACCCGGACTTCGAGTGCCGCATGTTCTTGTTGGATCAGGTGTTCCAAGCTGAAATCAGCGGCCAAGAAAAAAAAGGGCGGCCTTTTTGCCCCTGACCTCTCAAGATCTGAGATTTGATGTGCCTGAAGTACGGACTCAGGCTTGAAAGGTTAACCAGGTCAGCAAAACATAGCAACCACTGATTAGACTCCGGGATCAGTCATAGATCAACGAGCTGCACTCTTTTACCCTGGGAAAGCCCGAGATTTGGAACTTCCAAATATCCCGTAGGTGGTGTAAATCGCGCCCATTCTCGGGCGAGCTGGGGATTTCAACCAACTTTCCCTCCTCCCGACCGTTGGTTTTTGTTAGCATTGAATGGTCATGTTGGTTTCGTCGGGAATCCAAACCAAGGCAAGGTGTTCTGCTGGCTCAATGTTTAGATAGGCCGATTGCGCCCTGATATTTGTGCGCAGGTGCTATCCGATTCAACCACGCGGATGGGGAGGTCCAGATGTGTCGCCTGGCAATCATGTCCTACTGCCCTTTCTCACCCCTTTTTTGGTTAGGAGGGTTCGGTTCCCCTACTAGAATAGACACAAAAAAGCAAATCGGGTACCAACTTCTTCTAACCTCTCAAATCTGGAGCACCTGGTGTCCAGATCGGCGCACAAAACCTACAGGCTGCGCGAAGCGCGCAAGCGCAAGGGACCATGATCACCCTTCCTCGGGCACCTCCGTTGCTTTTTTTTTGGTTTGCAAAGGTCGAAACACTGGTCTCACCATCTTGAGAGCAACTTGCCAACTTGCGTTTTTTGTTGGCCTCTTTTTTTCCGCAGTTGCCAAACCTGGTCGAGTTGGGACACTCTTGATTTGTCTCCAGTCGGAAATGTTGAGTCATGTATTTATCGGGCTTGTACTCCTCGAATCCTTGAGCACCCGCGAGGGTTGGTTGGTACGAGGGCTAACTACCCACTTCCAGCGTTCCTGGTCTTCAAACTTTTTGGGCAGACCTTTTTAGTTGTACATAAAAAGTCCGGACTTCTTTTTGCCTATCAGGAACTGAGACTAGCTGAAATGTTAATCCTTAGATCACCGCCTCAACGCGACGTCAAACCTCAGTTCCACCCTGAAGAGCTGAACGCAGGTTTGACAGCTGTTGAGCACAATCCATTTCTACAATATAGTGTATATAAGTATTTATATATATATATATATTATTGTAGCTTGCTACAATCGATTCACTAAAACTCTTTCACTCCGAACATGCTTGTTCTAATTTGGAGTGGATCATTGGTAGCCTAGTTGGAGAGCATGCGACCTTTTTCCAAGTTCTCCATGCTGAAAACGACAGCAAGCAGGGACCAACCCATCACCCTTGTCGGTTTTGGGGAATCACTCGTGTTTTCCGTTGCTCGTCCTTCCTTTCTGAGAGAGCTTTCTCTACCCTACAGGACGCCGTAGTATGGTTTTTAGTTCCTAGGGGTTGCATAGCCTGCTGGTATTGGTTTGGTGGACCATGACCATGATCAAAGTCAACGGTTAAGTTGAAGGAAAACGGCCCCAGGAACGCTGGCTTTAAGCAACAAAATAAAGAGCTTCGGTCGTAACATGTCCAGTATAGCCCATTTGCTCACTTGCACATCGGGAGCTTGTTTTTCGTCAAGCACATGCCCAAAAAGGCAACAAGTTGATGAGGAAATCGCCCTGTGGCCAGAGTGGCCGCTGACTCTCGGCGGTCGTGACCTGGGCACATGGAAGCGGTGAAAACAGTCCCGAGGTAAGGGCTATCCCCCCACGTCGCCTGCGCCTATGGCGGCTGCCGTGCCCGGCATGACGGCTCCGGGAGCCCTTCCGGCGGCCGCTCGGCAGACCGGCATCTCATTTGGTTTCCCTCTCCTTTGTGGTTTCCCCTCAGAAATGCTTGCGGATATTCTTGAGCGCTTGGGAACATCCTAAGGAAGCACTTAAGGCTTTCCTGCTGCTCTTCTTTTGGTTTTTCTCTGAACCTCACCCCCTGAGCTCCTGGGCTTTAGACTTTTGGGGAAGACCTTTGTAGCGGTACACAAAGAGTTGAGACTGTTTTTTTGGCCCATGAGCTCAGGAAGTGGGTTTTCCTTTTTCAAGAAGCGACGGCAGGGGTTTAGCCACTCCTGGGTCCCGCAAACTTTTGGGGGATGTTGGGGACTTGGGCTTGGTCGATGAGGTTCCCGTCAAAACTGGACCAAACAAGGTAACCCATACAAGGCTGACCTTGGCCTGTTGTTTGGATAGATATATAATAAGGCCGAAATGGAAGCCCCCCGCCGAAGAGAAAGAGAGAGAGAGAGAGAGACCGAGAGAGAAAGAAAGAGGGAGGGAGGGAAGGAAGGAAGGAAGGAAGGAAAGAAAGAAAGAAACAAAGAAAGAAGGAAAGACATAAAGAAAGAAAGAGAGGAAGCAAAGTGGGAAACTAGTTCACGGTAGGAATGAAACAGTGCGTCCCACTTCTTCAGAAGAGAACATGTTGCTTGCCAATGAACCACATGAGATTGGTAAGGCCATTTCCTAGTGGTGCCACAGATGTGAGGGCATGTCTGGCAAGGGTCGGATGAGTGGCGGATGTCACTCAGGTTCCACCCTCACCCCAAATGGCATCCGCACCTCTGGAAGAAAGAAAAGGAAAACTGAAACATGGGAATACAGAAAGGGAGTAAGAAAGAAAGAAGGAAAGACAGAAAGGAACAAGTAAAGTAAGAAAAAAAAGAAAAAAGCAAAGAAATACAGTAAGTAAGAAAGACGGGAAGAAAGAATGAAATAAAGACAAACACAAGGAAGAACATACACAAAAGTCAGTACGGAAAAAAAGGAAGGCGAGAAACAAAGATGGGAAACAAAGGAAAGTAAGAAAGAAATGAATAAAGACAGACAGAAAGGCATAAATCATGAGAAAAGGAAGAAAGAAGGAAGTACATAACGAAAGAAAGTAACAAAGAAAGAAAGACGGAAATAAGGGAATAAATACACAAAAACAGAAATAAAGAACAATGAAAGAAATATATAAATAAATAAAGAAATAAACAAAGAAGTAAGTCATGAAAGAAAATAGATACGTCATGAAATAAAAGAAAGAAGGAAGTACATAACGAAAGAAAGTAACAAAGAAAGAAGGACAGAAGAAGGGAAGAAGGAAAGAAATAAAGAAAGATATACAGGAAGCAATAAAGAAAGACAGAACGAAGGGAAACAACCCGCCGGGCTGGAAACCGTCGGGCTTTTTGGGACCGAATTTCTCGTTTTCATCCCCAAAATACACTTAACAACCACATTTTTTGGGGGTCCGTGTTCTTACCTCGCTGGCAGACAGACAGCACTTCGGCTTCGAAATGGTTTGTTTGCTAGAGCCAGGGGTCACTTCAATCACGTAAATGTGCTTCAATGGATCAACATGCGCATGCGCATGGCTCGCGTAAATGTGTTTTGAGCACGTAATGAGATCTGGAAAAGGGTATGCGCCGGCTGAAAAGGGTATGCTTACCATTTGGCTGGCGTGGGTACAGTGTTGAGCGAGTGCCCGTGAGTGGGTGTGCCTATTATGTGGTTGGCATGGATTCAGTGTGCTGAGCGGGCGCGCGTGAGCGGGTGGGTGTTCTTTCCTTTTGGCTGGCATGGAAACAGCGTTGAGCGAGTGCGCGTGAGCCGGGCATGCTTACCATTTGGCTGGCATGGATTCAGTGCTGAGCGGGGTGCGCGTGAGCGGGTGTTCTTACCGTTTGGCTGGCACGGGTACAGCGCTGAGCGGGTGTTCTTACCATTCGGCTGGCATGGATTCAGTGCTGAGCGGGCGCGCGTGAGCGGGTGTTCTTACCATTTGGCTGGCATGGGTACAGCGCTGAGCGGGTGTGCTTACCATGTGGCTGGCATGGATACAGTGGTGGGCGGGCGCGCGTGAGCGGGTGCGCTTAGCATTTGGCCGGGAGCCTTATGGTTTGGCTTGCATGGATTCAGTGCTCTTACCATGTGTGGCTGGGCATGGATACAGTGCTGAGCGGGTGCCTGTGAGCGGGTGTTCTTACCATTTGCCAGGCATGGATTCAACAAACGCAACGGCTGCCGGCACGCAACTGAAAAAGAACAAAAACTCCTTGCTCCGAAACATGTGTTTTGCACTGCTCCGAAACATGTGTTTTGCACTGCTCCGAAACGTAGGTTTTGCACTGCTCCGAAACGTGGATTTGCACTGACGGTTAACAGCCCGACAGCGGAAACAAGAAATACAGAAAAGCAAGAGAATCAAACAAAAGAAGCATCAGAAATCAAAAAAAGAAAGAAAGGCAGCAATACAGAAGTAATAAATAAGCACAGACAGAAAGCAAATAGTAAATAAAGGAGAACAGAAGGACAGAAAGACAGACAGAAAATAGAAAATCACAGACAGGTTGAAAAATCATGAAAGCAAGAAAGAAAGAAGGGAATAACGAACGAAAGTAAGAAAGAAAGACAGGAGGAGTGGAGATGGCAAGCCATGAAGTTTTTTCTTTTAGTAAATACACTCCTCGTCGTATAGGCATGGCACCCCTTCCGCAACTTCCGTCATCCAGCTTGCCACTTGATAATTCCTTCTCATTCTTGGACATAGTGAACCGTGACAATAGTGGGCGCGGGCCACAGGCCGGGGGCTTCTCTCCCTGGACGTCCTTGTTCTCTCATTGAACTCGGCTGGCAACACCCCTAGAAAAAGCACCTATCAGCCACCCACCGGCTTCACCCGCCCAAAGCAACAAGGACGTCAGAATGTCCTTTTGAAGCGTAGCGCAGGGTGTTATGAGCACTAGCTTCACCGGGTCTTTGGAAGGTTTGGGGTGTCTCAATACAGTCGCAATGGATGAATGTGGGTCAACCGCCCGCCGACTGGTGCAGACAGAATGTTGTGTGTTGTGTAGCCCCTAATATACAGGCTAATCCAGTACGCTTGATTGACCTATGACCATTCATGATTTTGTAAAGTGCTACAACCCCGTGCGGTTTTTTAGCTCCTCACGCTACTGTGGATGGACGAAATCCTGCACCATCCAGGAAACCCTGGAATCATGATTCCCCCGTAAATAGCAGTGGTTTCAACCATGGTTTCCAAGTGGTGCGAAATGGATTTCGCAACCACCCACGTAGCTCGCGCTCTTTTCCCCGGTCGCCTGGCACGTTTCTTTTTCTTCGTAGGCACAACAGGCGCCCTCGGCGCAAGCGGCCATCACCGCAATGGTGAAGGCCAACCCGCGGTCCGCCTTCGAGCTCTGCACGGAGGACCCGTTCGGGCCGTTGGTTAAGGGTGAGGTCACCCGTCCGAGTTTATAAGAAATCAGGGATAAAACCTATGATTCACTTGGGAAGCCTTCGTGGTCACCAATCCGAGGTTCATCAAATCCAGGAAAAACCCATGATTCTTGTGGGAAACCCTTGCGTTTTTTCTGGCTACGCTTTGAGAAGGCACCCTTGTTGGCGGGACTAAACTCACCAATTTCCGGGTCTATTTTTGGCACATGCCCAAAAACGGTTAATCGCAGAAGTAATTTAATGTCTGAATATTGCTGAACAATTGTACCCGAAAACATGAGGAAGGGGAAACCAGAAGGGCTGGATAATTAGTTAGATGATGAAGTAATCAATCGATGTGTGCATTTTCCGCAATAATCAACCAGCATGAGTATTTCTTCCAGTTTTTCAGACCCTCTGTACGAGGGTGTGCGAAGAATTCCTGGACATAAGGGGAAGCTGTTTTTTTGCCCGCCTACCCAGAAACTCGTCCAGTAAAGGACCTTGGGTTTGGTCAGGGAAAAGACTTCGAAACATGTCCGTAGCGGTGAACTTTCTGCTTCTGATTCCGCACATGAGTCGGAGCCCATAAACCTATTCACGAAATGGGGAATCACCTGTAGGGGTCCTTCCAGTTTCCTCTTCAGCGCATTCCACCCTTCAATTCTGTTTGGTTGATTTCCCGCTGCAAGGGTCGCCCAGCAAAACTATTTAGTTGTTTTGCAAGGGTCACTGGGAATAAATCAGTTTTAGTTGAGGATTGGTTGACGGTCAAGACACCTGCCACCACCTCCAAACTTTCGCCACCAAATATGTATACAGTATAAGACTACTGAATATAGGGCCTCTCGTTCTTGTTCAGCTTGGATTGCATGGTTTTTGTGGTGCTCGCTCGAGGAGAACCGGTGGTACATCTTGATCCCCCACATCGGGCACCCCTCCGAACCCAAGGGGGACATCAACAGCTGCCACTGGCTCTCCACAAAGAACACCTGGAAGCCCGCCATCCGCCCATCGGACGCTTGGAGATTTCAGCCAAGTGTCTGTTTTACTGGGGTCTTGAACAGGGCTCCTTAAAAAAGATACGTCTTGGTTTTTTCAACACCAAAATAAAGTTGGACGCCACCATTTACAAGTTGCAATGTTCAGGTGTACAATGTAAGGATCCCTGTTGAAGGATATGCCACCAGGTCCCCCAAGAGTGCCCTTTTGCCATTTTGTGGGGGACGGCTCCCCTGCTAAAATCGACCACAGAAGAAAGGGTACCCTTATTCCAATCGCTCTACTGGAGGACCTAGGCCATATTGGGTCGACCAAGTGCGGAATAGGCTCAGAAGATGTATTTGTTCTTTTTGTACCTCAGATGGGCCTATGGGTTTCAAGCGATACTGATCCTTGAGGTGAACCATGTACCCTACAACGGAAAAAGTGCCCTTACTTCCACGGAATGAGTCCACACCCAACTTCCGAGCTGCTCCACACTTGTGAGAGCTCACCTTTTAACGCAACAAGTCCCATGAAGGTACCATCCCATGGATGAATCCCTGCAATCAGGGAATTGACATGTTGTAATTACTCGATAATCCCTTGGGCGGATTTGAGTTTAAGATTCTCTTGGGAGGTTTTTGTTTGATTGCGCAAGGTATGGGTCAATTGTCCAAAAGACTCTTAGAAAAACTGATTCGTGTGATGATCTTGTGATGTGTGATGATTATTTGAAGTGTTGTTTGTGGGGAAATCCTGTGACAACAGTTGTAGAAGGGATTGGCAAATCTACACTCTTGTCTCCTTGGTTTTTAGCGGGAGTTGGAGGGACAGTTGGAATCATAATTGGAAAGCACAAAACCTAAAGCGTTGGTGCAAATGTTTGCCCTTGGCCCTTTGTGACCTTTGTGCCTACGTTTTCAGCAGGGATCAAATGTCCACCCTTGTGCCAGGGTCTTGGGCGCAAACGGTTCGGATTTGCTTCGGCGAGTGAGAAAGCCGAAGCCGATCCAGCTCGCCCCCAGTCAGAAAAACATCCCCTTCCCCAGACGCGCGCGTTTGAAACAAAGGTGGAGACATGGTTCGTACGCAGGAGTTCCTGTTTTTTTGCTTCAAGGTGGGTGAAGTGATTGCGTTAGGTGGAGATTGTGGAGTCATTCCTGCACAGCTATGACATCTATCCGGAATGTGCCTCAGCTTTGACCGGCTTTCGATTTGCGCATGCAGAGACTGAGTTTTCGATCGGGAAGCAGATCCCTTTGACTCCCCCTTTTCCCTTGGACCCCCATGGGTCCGAATACACCGAGGAAGGATCAGCCATATCTCGCATGGCCATGCAAGGGGTTTTGCAACCAGACTCTGCGATTCAAACCACCATTAAAACAACAGGGGTTCATATAACCACCATTGTTTTCCTAAGGATTGTCATCATCGAAATGGTCAGCCTATCTTTTAGTGGGGGTTGAACCCCAGGGCTGAGTGGTGCAACGTTCATCAGCACGAGCTCTGGTCAAACGGAGCTCAATGAAGGCTGACTTGGGCATTTCTTGTTTCCGTGCTATGAATTCTACATGTTTTCTTGGTGGTTCCCAGCCATCCGGTTCTTTAGCCTTGTAGACTTTTAGGGCTTAGTTGGGTTTCCATTTCGCCCGCAACAAGTTTTTCAGTTTTTGCAGGGGATCTGAAAATGGACAGCTCGGTTTCCCAACCTCTCGATCTGTTTTGTTGGCTCTTTGCCTCTTGATTGTTGGATTCCACGAAATCGATGGAGGGGGCCGACAGAAACAAAAGTCTCCCCGCACGTTCCTCAGAAAAGAATCCCTCCCCTTTTTTCAACGCACTCGAGCTGTTTGGGTTTCGGGCTGAAACGAAGCAACCTTGCTTCCACTCTGGGGGTCTCCGAAACTATGTTGTGCATAAGATTTGATCCCAAGCTGCCCGCTTACATCTCCAAAACTATGTTTTCATAAGGTCTTGACTCTGGAACAGAGTCAGAGTCAGAAGATCTTTTCTGTGTAAAGTGGACTCTGGAAAAGAGTTCGAGTCAGAATACTCTGTGTACAGACCCAGTTGCCCAGTGGCGCCCCTTTTTTCAACGTTTTTTGGGAAGGGTTCCGATTCCTTTAATCTCAACCAACCAATAAAGGATGCCCCTTTTTCCCCATGGCCACTGTGTACTTCAGTGTAGGGACACATTTTACATTTTCGCTTCTTGTGGTTGAGTGGTTGAAATCCCTCCCCACTGAACTGCTAAAATTCTCAAATTTGTTTGCTCCCCAAACCCAACGTCAACCAAGTTTTCTGCGTACAGAGCTGCCCACTTAACGGCTAAAATTCAAATGTTTGCTCCCCTTCCAACGTCAACGTCCAGTTTTCTGCGAAAGCTGTGCGCCTCGATTCGTGGAGACGTCGTCGGAGGTATGCTGTGCCCCACGGGCGTGGGCTTCGCAGAGCACGCGCCCGCAGAGAAGCACCTCAGGAAGCTGAAAGAGCGAGTGCCTGCCGGGGTGCCAGTGGAGCTTTGGCGGAAGCGGAAGCGATTTCGCGATTTCGATCGATTTTTGGCGAAGCGCTCCGAGGCTCCCGGCTGGGAAAGTATGGATAGTTAACCCGTTTTGTTTGTATATTGTGGGTGTATATATATATATATATATACAAAACACGGGTATTTACAGTGTTTTTTAGGCCTGAGGTAGATCATGGGGGGGGGGGTGACCATATATATATATGCATACAGAATCAATCTGCTTGTATATACGTAAATGGTTGCCTCTCCAAATCTCCGATGAAAAAAGTAAGTAGCCTCCCAACTTTTTTACATGGAACCTGACGTTTCGTTTTGGGGGCCTGGACGGGGACCCCCGAACGTCAGGTTCCATGTGGAGGCAACCATACACATTTTTACAAGCAAGCTGGTTATAATATATATATATATAATATATACACGCTAATATAAAACCATAATGGATTACCTTGACACATAGCAACAAACAGTGCATGTTCAAGTGTGACGCAGAGCAGCGTAAGAGCAACTTAGGGAAGTGTCTTGTTTTGCCATGTGTTGACACATGTTCATGTGTTTACCTATGCTCGACAAGGTGTCATGAAACCCTGCTTCAGCCAGAAAGCGCAGGATACCATCCGAAATGTGGTGTGCGGATGTCCCAGCCAACAAGACTCTTCATTTCCCCAGTGGCGTGTATGAGGGATGGTCAATCCCTGGGCAGGCGCAAGCCAAGAAGCATATACCTGAGACACGATAAGGCCATGGACTCCCCATGAGGAGTCGCTGATGGGTGGAGGCCTCCCCACTTAACGGAGATTTGGGCGTGACTTTTCTGCGAGTAACCTTTTGATGCACGCATTGCAGGGAAACC